ATTAATACTTATAAATCAGTTTATAATGGATTATGAACATGCGCATTGAAAAAGAAAATGCATGACTTATAGGTAATTCTAAAAATAATATAAATGCAACTATAACTGTTCTTATAATACAGTATAGGTCTTAATGAGTCTTTATAAATATGTTTATAAAATTGTAATACTTACTTATAAATACGTATAAATGGAGCTATAATTCATTATAAGCATGGTCTTCATAGAAAGTGTTACCAAATATGCAATATGAGTATTCATCTTGAAATAAATGTAAAATGTTCTTTTACATTTTACTTATAAAAATCAGTAAAGATTTCACAGCACAAAAAGACACATGTCCCACGACCTGAAGGTGGACCCTTTTAGAATTATACTAAAAGGCCTTTTACTTGCTAAAAATGATAAACTATCAATCAGATGACAGAAGGCATGCAGTAGATTGTGTGCAACTGGGTTTTCAGCCATGTTTTGATCAATTTGATAATTATAAGCCTTAGAAAATTACATATCAATTATGATACAGTGAGCTTTAAAGGGTTAATACCGTATATTCAAGAAATCTGTTGCATCTGGCGGATTGTAAACAGTGTAAATGTAACACAATCACAGACTCCTTCTAACATTTAAGGATCCTGTTATATTACAAGCATGTATTGTTTTCAAAGGGAACTGGTGGACTGACACCCGACTGGAGGCAGCTGCTTATGATATGTGAGTTGTGACATGAGCAGACAGCGGTTTGCTGGAGGTGCTCAACCGCGGCGCGGGTACCATCTATCTCTAAGATCACTATCACCTTGCTGGAGATGAGGCCTGTAGACTTCAATCCCACAGATGGAATGGCTTGTAATCTAAACTCATAACCAAGATGAGCAGACAAATCCAAAGCTAATATCTCTTCCTAACTGCACATTTTTGACCAATGAACTTCCCTGGCTTTTCAGTCATTCATAATTGCGATAAAGGCCCATTTACACCAAGAAAGATAGCTACTGTATAACTAAGATTACCTTCCAACAATATCGTTCCTCCATGTCGTTATTGGTATAGTTAAAGTTGTGTTGTGGAGTTCATTTCATAGAATTAGATAGATTAGTTAAACTGTATAGTTATTGTTATAGTTCTTCCCTTTTCAACTTACGCCACTTGAGTCGCACAAGCTACTGGATAAAAATAGCCAATTAGATATTCAGTATTCAGATATTCAATATTTTACAACAGAGCATAGACAAAAAAAAAAAGTTATTTTTTTTTTTTACCACAGAAATCTCCGTGACTTTTCCATGAATATTTTTAAGAGTGTTCAACAACTGGAAAATTCTCAAATTCTCCAGGTTTCCATGACATACAAATCTAATAAATAAAAGCACTAAATTAAACAAACAAACAAACCAATGTTATTCTAAAATGTATAAAGTATATACCTAAAATCTTGCAATAGGTGTCAATTTGGGTCAATGGGTCTCTCATTCTCAAGTTCCTCATGGAGATCCCAGCCTGGAGAACCTAATACTGGCCATCAAACTACATTACCCTCTAACACTGGCACATGAATCAGGCAGAAAAACTACAATCATAATTTCACTGTAATACAATTCTGAATGGATCTTTTTAGTGACGGTATGTTGGAAACTGATACTGTAGATATCCTACAATATCCACATGAAAAGCTTCTAAAAAGCTTCAGTCTTCAGGAGCCGTGAAGCTGTATGACAATTAGAGGGCGCCACAAGCTTTAAAACTGCTAGTCGTCCTAAAAATAGAAGGAGAGCAGGCATGCTAGTGAAAACATATTAACTCTGTAAAGCGACATGAGAATTAATAGTCAGAAAAAAATCTAATCATATTTGATACATCAGGCTTTTATGGTTCATAGCTATGTAGTATTTATTGTGGAAGGCAAATAATAAAATGCAATACAATGATGATGAACAAATATGAATGAACAAAAAAAAAAGTTCCTCAAAAGCCTGATGATTATATTTGATATTCACATTTTAACATGATTTTTCAAAAAAAAAAAAAAAAGTATGGGTAATCGTAAACCTCAGTCCAGAAAGTTTTCATCTTGAAATATTACTAACATTATCAAAGTTATTCTTACATTTACTTAAGGTCAACGCGTGTACAATGATACTATAGTAGGCCTATTTATATATATTTCTTATCTAAAAGGCCTTTTACTTGCTAAAAATGATAAACTATCAATCAGATGACAGAAGGCATGCAGTAGATTGTGTACAACTGGGTTTTCAGCCATGTTTTGATCAATTTGATAATTATAAGCCTTAGAAAATTACATATCAATTATGATACAGTGAGCTTTAAAGGGTTAATACCGTATATTCAAGAAATCTGTTGCATCTGGCGGATTGTAAACAGTGTAAATGTAACACAATCACAGACTCCTTCTAACATTTAAGGATCCTGTTATATTACAAGCATGTATTGTTTTCAAAGGGAACTGGTGGACTGACACCCGACTGGAGGCAGCTGCTTATGATATGTGAGTTGTGACATGAGCAGACAGCGGTTTGCTGGAGGTGCTCAACCGCGGCGCGGGTACCATCTATCTCTAAGATCACTATCACCTTGCTGGAGATGAGGCCTGTAGACTTCAATCCCACAGATGGAATGGCTTGTAATCTAAACTCATAACCAAGATGAGCAGACAAATCCAAAGCTAATATCTCTTCCTAACTGCACATTTTTGACCAATGAACTTCCCTGGCTTTTCAGTCATTCATAATTGCGATAAAGGCCCATTTACACCAAGAAAGATACCTACTGTATAACTAAGATTACCTTCCAACAATATCGTTCCTCCATGTCGTTATTGGTATAGTTAAAGTTGTGTTGTGGAGTTCATTTCATAGAATTAGATAGATTAGTTAAACTGTATAGTTATCGTTATAGTTCTTCCCTTTTCAACTTACGCCACTTGAGTCGCACAAGCTACTGGATAAAAATAGCCAATTAGATATTCAGTATTCAGATATTCAATATTTTACAACAGAGCATAGACAAAAAAAAAAAGTTTTTTTTTTTTTTTACCACAGAAATCTCCGTGACTTTTCCATGAATATTTTTAAGAGTGTTCAACAACTGGAAAATTCTCAAATTCTCCAGGTTTCCATGACATACAAATCTAATAAATAAAAGCACTAAATTAAACAAACAAACAAACCAATGTTATTCTAAAATGTATAAAGTATATACCTAAAATCTTGCAATAGGTGTCAATTTGGGTCAATGGGTCTCTCATTCACTAATAATTGCGTAGAATATTCGTATTTATGCACAGGAGAACTTTTCAGGAAAATTTCTGCCTAATTCACAATATGTGCATACAAACATGAAGTTGTTCGTAATCTCATAACGTTAATGAATTGAGTATTCTGAGCAACCACATGCCCAAGATAAGTAATTTGCATAAAACACACCCAAACCATCTCCATATAACGGCATTCTGAACAATCGTACATCACAGCAAACAGATGATGCTCTCTAAGGATGTTTTCATGCCTAAGAGCAAAAACAGCAAGATATAGGAGTAATGCCAAGTGTGCCATCCTCAAAACCAGATTAACACCTTTTATACAGACCTATAGATGATTGTTGTTTGGACCTGGAGCACACGTTCACTCATTTTGGATATTCCGAATTGACATTAAAAGAAGGTTAGGAACACATTAATGCATGTACACACGTGAATTAGGCCAACATTTTCAGTTCACTGTTTTTATTAATACGAATCAACAAGTCAACAGAACGGAGCCAGTGCAGTGCATTCTCAGATCAAAATCACGTGCGTTGGTTGGGGGAGGCTGATACGTTAAAGAGTTATCTCTCTGGAAAGTTGCTTTATTAGCAGATAGCAGAAGGTTATACACTCAACACCATCTGGAGACATGGCAAGGGAAGCTGCTGTACTTCAATAATCAACCATACAGAATGACATCAGATATACAGAAAAAGCAAGTGCGCATACTCGCTTGTCCTAATCATTTAGTCAGCTTCAGGTATTTAAACTCCTGGGAATCTCAAGCATTCTCCCAGAAGCATTCAGAGCTAAACATTTTTTTAAAGGAGACAGGGAGTGCTCTAATGTAGGGAAAGTAGGCAAAGAAAAAAAATATTTTGAGGTAAGAAAGCATAATGTCACGTCTGACTTAATTGAATTAATGTGATCATGTTAATGGATGACAGAACTGATATCACCTGAATCAGCAGGTCATCACAGACTATGATATTCCAAAACAATACACTGGGGTTCACAGGACGCTTTCTTGCGTTCCGTCTGCTCTAATGTTTATCATTGAAACATGAGTCAGACAGACGTCTCTCGCCGGTGCGTCGCGTCTCGAGTTATTCCCGTTGTAAGGGAACCGTTGTCTGTTCATTATCCGAGTAGTGACTGAAGATGTCATTCAGCGTAACCATTACTGTTCCTTTACAGAATTAAAGTAATACTGATTTGGAACGTCGTGAGATTGAGAAAACGAAAACAGAATTTTAATTTTGGTATGGACTGTCTCTTTAAGAAGGCAGAACTGTTAAAAACAGCACAACTTTTAAAAACGCGTCGCAAGAACGTTGTCGGCGTCTTGCTGCAAGAAGAATGCGCCCTGCTCTGTGCGACGCATTCCAGGTCGGATACGCACAGTACTGTCACATTTATATTTTAGAACCCACATCGAACACATCAACGAGTTTAAACTTGTGGGGAAAAAAACTCGGTCGTGACTGCTTCATAATTCACAAGATCAGTGAATGAATGATATTTTAACGCTATATTGTAAGGCGAGAAACATAAGTGTCCTTCAGGTAAGTGATTCGCAGTATAACTCAAAACGCAGCAAACGCGTGGCGCGTATTGGCGCGTCCCCATATTACCGCACTATACAACATAATCAGTTAGTCAGACATTTAGATGTACTAAACATATTATTTATATCTGGATAAATACATTGCAGTAATGAAATCGATCGCCTTACCTTTGAATCAAGCTCGGTTCCAGTAAATGCCGTGAATGGAGACAGTGGGGAGCGATGTGGTCTGCTGGAGACACAGTAAGGTCTGCTGTCCGAACTGTTGCCTGTCTCCTCTCTAAGCGCATGTAGGCTATTCTTAACTGAACGAAACCCCTCCCCTGCTTCACACGATATTTTCAGCCACATTGTATTTAGAAACCGATTAGCTTCTCCAAATCCATACCTAAATGAACTACCTGTCGAAATGATTTGCTAGTCCTTATCCATACTCGCTTGGCATACTGTAATATGCACATTTTAAGTTTCATCTGTCAGGGCTGCGTTGTCAAAATATGCCATGAGGTCAGTGTTTTGCTTTTTTTTGTGAGAAGAGTTTTATTTTTCAGTCACAGCCTTAACACCATAAGGCAGGTTAAACTGAACCCTTTGGAAATATCTGTGTAAATAAATCAGTGGCTCCTAAAATGGCATTCAAACTTTGCCCAAGAAATAATAAATACAGATAAACACTGCACACACAGTTTTTGCAAGTGCTTAAGGTCCTTAGACATGTGACCATTGTTGTCCTATTAAAAGTTTAAATATATTTTCTGATTGTCTCCTACTATAAATTGTGATTGATTGGATTGGGGACGGTACGTTTTTTTTTTTTTTTAATTTACAGTTTTATCCTTTGATGATGCATTTAATTGCTAAAAAAAAAGTGACAGTAAAGAAATGTATAATGTTACAAAAAGTCTCTAAAAATATATTCTTTTGAACTTTCAATTCAAAAAAATATTCCTGAAAAAACTATTTTCAACATTGATAATAAATGTTTCTTGAGCATCAGATCAGCATATTAGAATGTTTTTTGAAAGATCATGTGACTGAAAATTCAGCTTTGGAATTACAGGAATAAATATTGTAAATTATTGTAAACTGTAATACAATTTAAGTTTTACTGTACTTTCTAATCAAATAAATGCAGCCTTGGTGAGCATAAGAGACTTCTTTCAAAAAAGTTACAGACTGTGTACATGAAAAAAAATATATAATATAATACAATACAATATAATAAATATGAGTGTCTTTGCATTTTGTAACAAAATAATCAAACAAAGTGTGAGAATTATTTTAAGGAAATACAGCACAAACCCACTTTAAGCAAAACATTTCACAAGATGTTGTTTCACTTGTATGAACTAGAGGGGAACTGACTTTATACATCCACTTTATACAAATCACCATGCGTCCGGTTGGTTAAAAGTAACTGCAAAAGTTAGTTGCGCGAAATAAATATCCAAATATGTTGTATTTACACTGATCTGTTCATTGTCACTGTTAAATACTTATCAATTAGTCATTTTTGTGATATCTAATATACTGTAAAAATATTGCTGTAACAGGCCTGTGTTTCAAAGAAGTCTTTTAACTTAACTTCTGCTCACATCCCACAAGGCCAACTGCTTAAACTACCTTTCCTTGGTTTATACCTTGAAAAGAGACTCTTGAAAAGAGGCGAGTAGGATGTCTGGTTTCCTCATTGTCTTTCAGTTCCAACCATCATTAGCAACAAACTTTGACAGTCAGAGACAGATTTCTCTTCAGTGCTTTTCCATCCTCATAGCTGGAAAAGACCTGGCATGAGGGAATTTGTCTCTTTGTACTTTCTTCCGCCGTAATTGTGACCTTTTCTGATGGGTTCTGTACCCTTTCCTGCAGACAGATGAGGAGCCTTGCAATCTCCCAAATGTGTGGAAGCAAGCAGATGGCTGGCTTGTCCTTTTTTTTTTTAGTTTTCAACAAAGGCACACAAGGTATAAAAGCACATTAAAGTAATATTAACATAACATATTATAACCTGAAGGGACATGTACGCAAAGAACTGTCCTCCGGAGGGTATCACTTGAGCTCTGACTGTTCGCATATCAATATTCCAAGTTCCCCAGCGAAAAACCACCAACGGAAATAGAAAGGATATGGCAAGGATACCACAAAGCTCGATTTCATTATCTACAGGGAAAGACAGAGAGAAAGAGAGAGAGTGTAAAGAGTTCCAGGAATATAAACTACACCCAGGACAAATATACAGCTATCAGACACATTCATACAATTAAGATATTCGTTTCATGTAATTACCGCAAAATCCGGTGGGACACCGAGCATTACACAATGAACTTCCTGATACTGCTGAAGCTTGCAGATGAAGGACTGGCTCAGGTGTGTTATATGATTCTGAAGGTTGATGGTAAAAGTGACTTTTACACAGACTATGATGGCAGGGTGTTGATTCTGCACATTATTTCACTTCGCTTTGATGTTTACATCTATCTGGCCTTTTCTAAAACTGACTCCTAATGCAGTGTGCAAGAGGTGGGTGGAGATAAACAGGCTTTGGTTACTGGGCGATTTTGTAGCGCTTTTGACTGAAGTTCTACATTTTAATAACCAACCGGGACTCATTTTACCATTCGCCAGGTTTACAGCGATGTACAAAGTGCTTTATGGGAGACAATAGATGCCTTTTATTTTAAATAGTCAACTCATAAATCTCGAGCAGAAAATTCAGCTTTGCTATCATATAGGAATAAATTGCATGATTTTAAATTGTAATAATATTACATTTTTTTCTCTTTTTCATTTAAAAAATGCAGTGAGCATAATTTTAAAAAAGTTGCACATTTCAGTCTGTTTTACACAAAGCTATTGTATGGCTTTAATGAGTAAATAATGACAGAATTTTCATTTTTGGATGAACTATTTGTTTAATTCCTTAATTTATTACAATTCTCCCCCCCCCATCAGCTTCATACAGACACTTCAAAGAAACTAGCAATGGCTTAAACCATGGGCTCTCAAACTTTCAGATCATTCAGATGGAGTATACCATATACTTTAGTGGTAAGACCTAGTCAAACCATGACTGACTTTTTTTTTTTTCCAGCATTGATCATACTAAACAAAACAAAGCATAATGTGTATGAGCAACATGCCACATTTGGAATAAAAACAATATTAATTTTCTTAAAATTAATGCATATGACCCTCATCTGTCAGTTGTCTGGACAAATTTAAAGGGTTAAAATGGACTTGCATTCATGTTAATATGTAAGTGTTGCCCATATTTGCCTAATTAAAACCCATAATCAAAAATAATTCAGAATTTTCAGCTGTAAGTTCAGTTGAACTATTAAATTTTAATGTCTTTGTCATTAGTGTTCATTAAGGCTGCATTTATTTGATCAAAAATATAGTAAATACAGTAACATTGTGAAATATTATTACAATTTTAAATTTAAATTCTATTTTTTCTATTTCAATAAAGCTGAATTTTCAGCATCATTACTCCAGTCTTCAGTGTCCACATTGATAATAATAAATGTTTCTTAATATTGTGGAAAATGATATATATTTTGCTTTGATGAAAATACATTTCAAAATAACAGCATTTATTCAAAACTTCTTTCTACTATTATTAATGTCCTTACAGTCACTTTTGATTAATTGAATGCATACACGCTGAATAAAAATATTATCTTTAAATAAAAACTAAACAGTAAAAAGTTGAACCCAAACTTTTGAACAGTAGATTTAAGAATTTGGGGAAGTTCAGTTTCTGTGGGGCTTAAAAAAATCTCCTATTTAAATCTTGCATTGCAGAAGAATTTAATCTATGCATTAAAGTCTAAGACACATTAAATAATTGTATATAGATCAAACTGTATATTGATTAGAAAAGAAAAAAAAACCATGGGGAAAAAAAGTAATATTGTAATTCTCCATGTGTCATGTCCAGTTTGAGAACCACTGGCCTTTAGTAGGCTGCCATCACATGTAAAGTCTGAGCATGGCTAGGATTCATTGCTACACAGACAATGCTTTCATCTTACCTGCTGTCAAGAAAATATTGCAGTAGATGCACTGGACTGTGTGGATACCACACAGCAATTCACATTCTGAGTTCCTGCCTGTCTTTGTGTTTGAGTGTATGAGAGTATGTGTCTTCCCAGATGAAACAGCCTGAAAGCTTACTGTCTCTAAACATTTCTTTGATATTATTTGAAAAGGTGAATGCATAGTGAAAGGAAGCTTCACTTGTCCTAGTCAAAAGAGAACTGAACAGGTTACAGTGAAAGCAATAAAATTACAATCAAAGTATGTTGAGTAGCACGGATGTGCACCATTTATATGTATTTAAATTAACTGAAATTCTAATTCTAAGAAATTTTTAACTATAAAAACAACATTTGTGAGGACAAACTTTGAAAATGTGTTTGTTAAAGTCATAAAGAAAAAAAATGAAAAAGCCATGGTTTATGGGCCTTACAAGAGAATGCAGATACGTTGAAAAAAAATGTGGTATAGAAACAATTTTCATATAAAATTGTTCATAAATTTCACAAACAAACACCAAGTAACACATTGAGCCCTATCATACACCCGGCGCAATGCGGCGCCAGGTGCGACGCAAGTGTTTTTTGCTAGTTTCAGCCCGACGCAGTTGTCATTTTAACGTCCTGCGCCACGTTGTTTAAATAGCAAATGCATTTGCGCCCATTTGTGCGCCAATGGGCGTGCTGGTCTGAAAACGAAGTGTGTTCAGGCGCATTGCTGGCGCGTTGCTATTTTGAGGCAACTGAACTGCGCCATTGACCAACAAAAACCTGTTCTAAAGTCAATGGCGCAGTTCGCTGCACGAGCAGCTCCGTTTCATCTCTGGAGACGCGTTCTGTCTTTGCGCTTGCAAATTTCGCCGTGTAAATAGCAAATCCACCATGGCACAAGCGCAACTGGCTCTTAAACGTCCCCTGAAATGCTTAGAAACACGCAGCGTTACTCTATGTGTTGATGTCATTTTAACTGAAACAGGAAGACAGGGCAGGACATATCAAGCAGCCCCGCCCCTTTTTAAAATAGCCAATAGCGTTCGTTTATATCACAGCTTGGGCTAGAGCTCGGACACGCTCTAAGTGCCCCTGCGCCATGCGCTTTAGACCATGCGCTTAGATCGTTAAAATAGGGCCCATTGAATTAAATGTGGAAAAAAAACTGAAACAGTATTTTCTTTTTCTGATTCATTTACAACTTCAAAATTACTTTTTTAAATATTTTTTTTTTACGACCGATACATTTT